TAAATTACAAAAGATGCTAAACATTTTAATGCAATTAAACTTAGAAACACCAAGTTGTAGTCCAACTATTGCATATTGTTATGTTTTTAGTAATGAGTTCACTCCGTGAGTAAGATTTGTAACTAATATTTATTATTGATGATCGGTATTTATAGCTACATCAGGTTACATATCAATACGATTACAATTTATACTTCCTACTACAATTAGTAAATTATCAGTCCGTCTTTTACAATGTTATCCCTTACAGTATTAATTGACCGTATCATCATGCGCCGATCAATTTATTAGACTTTTGGACGTCTTCGTATCAATATTAACGTGACTTAACGTCACTTTTCTACAATGATGTTTTACTGATTCATAATAATTTGATGAATTGTATTAGATGTAAATATCAAAGGGCTCGATAACATGACTCCATTACATTTAGCAGCTACATCTAATAAAGTTGCTGCTTTAAGGACGTTACAAATGTATAATGCAGATTCTTGTGCCCAAAATTCTGAAGGTAATATACCACTACATTGTGCAGCAAAAGCAGGAAGTTTAGATGGTTGCAGGGTTAGTAACTCCTTTTACTGACACCCTCACGTAAATTTATTTTTTTCTTGCCTAAAAAGGTGTAAATTTAACGGAAAAGTCTAAGTTTCTTATCGTTTACTCTTAAATTCATACCCAATTACTTTGTAAATAAGAGTAACAGTTTTGCTGACAGCATTTAAATATTAGATTTAGCAAGTACGTATCTCGAACATGTTAGATAGATTTATATGTACGGAAGTAGAAAGATAAAGGAAACAAACATAAATAATAAATTAAACTTTATTTAATGACAGCCTTTCATTTAATCACGCCTCTAAATGATAGTATTTGCTAAATACTTTTATATCGATTTTACTAGTAGTATCGCATCGCATGTAAGATCAATCTCATCTAGGCATTCTAACTATTCTAAGATTTCGATTTTATTGATTGATACATAAAAGGTCTAAGAAAATAGAAATATCGGAGCTCATTGTGTCGTAATGGATAGTAGCTAGCTAAGATTCCTTTTTAGTTAGTTAGTCGGTTGAATGGTCAACTAGTTTTTCAATTGATATTTAATTGTAAAGACTATAATCTTGGGTGCCAAGATTCCTTCAGTAATAAATGATAGTAAATCTCTAACTATCTCGTCTACATCATCTGTGACGCTATAATTATACCATAGTATTCGGTCGTTAGAACTGAATTATTTGGTGATATAGCTAATCTTGCCTCTTTAAGTTAGTAAGTGGTGTTCTCCGCAAGGATTGGCGTGTGTAGACTACTTTGTCACTAGTGGTGTGTGACACCACCTAAGTTAATAACAGATCTAGATCGTAATAACTGTTCAGTGCCCTCACTTTAAGTTATTGTTTCTTACAGATATTGCAATTAGTCTATTTATCTTAGACTAATAACATCACTTATGAATTTCTATTACAGGAATTACTTAGCAAACAGCCATTTACGATAGATTGCATAAATAGAAACGAAGCAACGCCATTACATATGGCTTGTATCGGCGGTCATGCATCGGTTTGCCTAGAATTAGTAAGCTAAAAGTACCTTTGAAATTATAGAAAGAGGTCTCACTTAGTTGTATTTTGTTTTAGCATAAAATGGTAACTAACCAATAGGAGTTTTACAGATTAATCGTGGGGCTGATATTATGGCTAAAACTGCTGATGGTAGTTTACCAATTCACATAGTAGCTAAGCAAGGTAATGTAAAAATTATGGAGCTATTACTTTCAGCTTACACAGCGAAATATTCTCGCCGAGAAGATTACATCATGGAATGCAATTATGATGGTGCTTCAGTTTTACATCGAGCCGTACAAGGGCGTCAAGAAATGGTATAATCAATATTTCATTCTTTGCGACTTGCTTATATGTTATTATAGCAACATTAGCGAATTACTTCACTATTCATTTTTTCGTGGTCTTAAGTCTTTTCATTTCGATTAGATATAAGTTTATGCAATATTCTGAGTATTGTTTATTTATTCTTGCCATAACTGTTATATTATAACAAAAAGTGATAAAATGGATTTGCTGACTCATAACTTATCATCTATAAATCTTAAACATACTCGATTAAATACGAGAATGGCAGCATCTACTACATTCCAGATAGAATACAGTGCATGTTCCTACTTTTTCCAGCCGATTCTATACATAAGTACATTCTATCATACAGTTAAATCAATTGCGATACTGTCAAATTATAAAATCCCTGTACTCCATCATATCGATAAAATCTTATATTTAAAACAGCTAATAGCTTTCCTACGTAAATAATTTTAGGCTATTCAGTTTTGCTTAGACAATGGTGCAGATACTTCTGTTCGTGATGTAAGTTCAAGAAATCTGTAGTTGCTATCGGACTCATTTTGTTATCCTAATGATAGACTTATTTGCAAAAAATAGCAAATTAACGCATATCTGATAATTGCCTACTAAAATATTTAGATATAGATTCTTTGGATTAATTAGGGACTTCTTTTCTTCCATATCATTAATTAGAAGCGTGGATTTACTCCTTTACACTATGCCGCAATCAGTAATCACAGCTCATTAATGCAACTACTAATACAAACAAAACCTGCAATCGATGCACGCGATGATGATCACCGAACCCCATTACACCAAGCAGCAATATTTAGTTTTATCGACATTATGGAAATATTAATCAAGGCGGTAGGTATTTAAAATCAAGCAGAATCCTTGGCATATTAATTGCGCTATTTGGTATAGTATTGGGCTTCGTATATTCTCTTTGTGTATGTGAGCCAAAAAACTTCTGGATTCCTTTATTTTTATAATATAGTAAAATAGATTTCTATTTGATCACAAGTGACCGCGTAAATGATTTCTCCTAATGAAGTAGCGTGGAATTAGATTCTAGCTTAATTTCAGACCATTATCTTCTTATATGTATTGAATTGATGTACTTTAAACTGTTTATGGCAACTAATGCTAAAAAATTTTGTAAACAGTCATTTAATGATATCCTAATTCAGTAGTTTGCTCTTATTTTGATAGGGAGCTAGTATCGATGCTAGTGACAAAGAACAAAATACACCATTGCTCCTAGCTGCTTATAGAAATAAGATTGAAGCAGTACAATATCTAATCGACCTCCATTGCAATATTCACGCTAATGATATTAAAGGAAGAAATTGTCTGCACTTAGCTATTGCCGGAAGCAACGATGAATTGGAGTTACTAAATTATTTATTATCAGTAAATCGATATCTAGTTATCCTAATGTTCTCGATGCTGCCTAAGCAATTCTAATTACAGCATATGTAAACATTTGGGGAAAGATGTCTACTATTAAAGAAAATAGTCATGGTGTAATCTATCATCTCTATTTTAGATTTATAAAGTACCATATCTTGAATCCACTGATAACTACGGGAAAACTCCGTTACATTATGCTTGCCAAGATGGAAAATACAAGGTATGTTCATTTCAGAAATTTTCTAGTGTATCAATTTTTAAATTTTATTCTAAGTGAGCCGTTAAAAATTCGCTTAATGATGGCTATGGCTAACCATTTATTATGACAGATTGTTAATTTACTATTAAAGTATGAAATAAATGTTTACCTGGTCGATCAAGATGGCAATAACTGCTTCCATTTAGCATGCAAGTAAGTTTATTATAAGTAATAAGTAGCTGTTAATGCTATGATAATTGTGTTACGTATCTTAAGATTTAATGTAACCATTAAAATAATATAGGAATAGTTATCCTGATATTGCAGAGCTGCTATTAAACCATTCAGCTGGTCTATTGAATAGTGAAAATGCAGATAACTGCAATGGCTTGCATATCTCCGTGATTAAAGGATGTCCTAGTACCGTTAGATTGCTACTTCAACATGGGGCTGAAATTGATCGAAGGTTAAACCAAGAAAATTTAGCTTAGCAACTTTGTGCTTACTATTCGTAATTTTAATCTTATCGATTATTTTTGTGATAGAAATGCTAGCTATAGCACGCCACTAGATACAGCTTGTATGAATGGTTCTCACCAGATTGTTCAATTATTAATTGATCATGGTGCAGCTCTCAATACATTAAATCGATCTGGGGTACAAATTGTTTAAACAACAATAATTACAGGGCGATCGATAATCCAGTTCTGCATTCTACAACTGTATATTGCTAAACTGATAATTTACAAACATAAATTTTCTCGTATTCCCGGATATTTCTTTTAGGAATCAGCATTGCACATTGCAGCAAGACATGGCAAAGCAGATATTGTTAAACTTTTATTAAATTGTGGAGCGGACTGCACAATTGAAAATAACCGTCAAAAAAATAGTCTAGAGATTGCAATCCAGCACGATCAACAAGGTGTAGCCATTGAAATCGCCACCAAGCCCAAGTAAGAAATTATAGAAATAAACGTAGGAATTGATTTTGCCGAAGATTTGAACACATCATCATCTCTTCTATATAAGCAAATAAATTTAGTATCAAATTCTAGTAACTAAAATTAAATAGGAGCAATTTTTTCAGCACCAGAATTGATTTTGCTAAAGATATAAGTGTATAAGCAGCTTATGCTAATGTAGCTATTTGATTTATTAATAAATTTCAGTACATATATTTAAAAATAAGTAATCCATCTGGTGTAGTTATAGATGGTACTTAAGCATCTACGTAGACCATCAACTCATCCAAGATAACTGTATAAATAAAAGTGCCATCGAACTTCAGCATGTATAATCAATATTGAACTGGTTTAGTTTTAGGAATGACTTTGCTAACAATTCCGAGAGAATAACAAGTTCACATATCTGCAGTGTTTGACTTTGCTATCTAATATAAAGGAAACAAGTATTGCATATTCATTTAATGGTCAGAATTAATTTCTCTACCATACTTCACAAATAAGCAAACCAGTTAAATTTTAGCCGTATACTGATTTTATTCCATCACCTGCCATTTCTAACTAATGGAAACGCAAGGTATATTTGAACTTTGCTACTGTAAGTGACCTACTGCCTACTCAATCATCAGATTTCCAAAGTCTCATGGTCAAATTAAATTTTAGATCTATAGGATGACATTCAATTATATTACAATTCTTATTCATTTATCCCGTAGCAGGATGAAAGGGAACCCGTTCTGCTAAGTGTAATTAGTGTGTAGATCATGCAAAGAAATTTATAACAGCGGATTTTATTACTGATTCTCTACCGATTGAGATACCGTACTATGTAAAAGTAAAACAAGCTCTGGCAAGTAATGAAAACTTCTTACAATAGTAGATCATAGGAATAAAGGACTAAAAACTATAATAACAGAAAAACTTAGATACGTAAATATGTTATCTAACTTGTTTACAATATGACTATGGCGAACAACATCATTAAACACTTATGGAACTTAATATGAGAATAAAATTCTATGATTAGTATTACATTCTACGAAGCTGAAATCAATATATTTGAATCATCACAAATGTTACTTAAATATACCCTATTATTGTCAACAACCTAAGATTTTGGTATTATTTTTAAGTTATGCCTAATTTACTTCTACATAAAATTTGACAACATTAGCTTGTCTAATAACTTCACTACACAGGAATATAAATTCTACTACAAAATGAGATTATGCAATATTTCTTTTAGCGTATATGTTTACACCAATTTCTAGGTCTTATTTTCTTGTTCTTGTTAATAGAAATCGCGATCTTTTGCTTAAAGTTGGTAAAGAGAACATAACAACAATGCAATCAATTATCCAAAAGATGCCAAAAGTTGCTTCGGTTAGTTAGAATCGTCACCAGCTTAAATATTTTCTTTTATAGCACATATACCGTACATATAACCTAGACCAAGTTAGTTAAGAAGGATCCCTACTATCGGCAATTTTTACGAATTTTTTTCCATCAGCTCAATTTTAAAGCATCAATCTATACTTTTTCAAACCTAAAATATTTCATCAACTTTATACATCGCATTATTTCGATATTGTATCCCACTATGTAGGAAGTGATGAATACCTGCATTAAGAAATCGTCAACATTTGATCGCGAAGGCAAGAATATCTATACAGTGAGTTAATTTCATTATTTTGGCTGTTTTTCCTTTAGAGTAGAAAAGATAGGATGGAGAAATATACTTTAAGAATAATTTAGAGAATGAAATAAAAAGACCGCATTAAACTAGATACCAATGATAACCTTAAACTGAATATGTTCTTATTCTCTATAAGCTAATGAGAAGTAAACTGCATGGTAGCTAATGACAACTCAAATTTCATATAGCGCTATCATTTTATATTTATGAAATTACAGATAGTATATGATTTTACTCTGCTTGAACCTGGAGAGGAATTGGAAGAGATGTACAATTTACCCAAAGGAATACATAACTTAAATGCACTAACAGTAACGTATCAGCATATAGAATTATTTCGTAGAATAGGGACAAAAATATGATGATAAACCGTCAGAACGACTAGTCGTCTCTCACAGCATGCTAGCTAGAACGATCAGCGTAACTTTAGTCATATCATAATTGGTTTTTGCGTATACTTTTGCAACTAAGCCACTTCTACAATTTAGAATTTGACACTATTTAAACTATATACGATTTTCAATATGCAGAAAAATGACTGTTTAAAATGTCCTACCCGTATTTATTACCTATAGTCTACTAATACGACAACATCAAGTTTTATTAATAAGCTTAGCTTATAACAAAAACTTGAAGCGTAAGGAAAAGCTTTCCCAGTACAAAGCATTTCTTAGCAAGCTGAGAGTTTATTTTATTTCGAAAGGAATTAATATGACAATTAATATCAGTTTTACGTTCTTTGTACAAGATTTGTGAAATCGTTATAGCTATATTTAGTCCATTAGCCTAATTATCTCATATATTATCTTATCACTATTGCAACAGACAATCGTCTCATCTAATCACGTCGGTCTCCTCGAACATCCACTTTCTGCAAGATTGTTAGATACTAAATGGTTAATTTACTATGCTTGTAATCTGTTAATGGTCATCTAATATATAGTGATATTGACGTTGTTGGTTTAATACGTGATCCGTCATCAATCTTAGGTCGCATTTTGGTCGAAGAGTCTACGTATTCAACTTAATGATTAATATCTTATTCATCGTGGCTTTGACAGCTTATGTTCTCAATATTGAAGATTATTTTAATTCAGCTTATAGTAAAGTCCACCTAATAGGACTTCAGCCATCGAATGCTTTTTCAGGAAATGGCAAACCCGCTAGTCGTTCAATTTCTGCCTTTTCTAATTCAACCAGTAATGGTACCGTAATTGATGTAAGCGAAAAGAGTAGAAATGTTATACTGTTTTAACTATTTTAGTAACTACTCGGCAACATATCTTTACAGTCATCAAATCTTTACAATCTTTATGAAAATCTATAATTTAAATGTATTTAACCGAAATTTAAAATATCTAACTTATTAGGATATTGCGAGAAACCATTCGTCAATTCCTATTCTTAAAGCTCTTATTCTAGTATTTTCGATCGTTAATTTGATTCGTGAGATTTTTCAGCTCTATCATGAGGTAATGTAATCTATCACCAAATCACTAGTATTGAAAATGTACTCCCTTTTCTAAGTAGTTTATCGGTCTATCCATCACTTTTTCTCGTATTCTTCACTATTATTTACTATTTTAAGTCACCTTGACTTAATCGACGAATTAATCTACTTTGACATCTCTAGAAGTGGAAATATTTCCTTTCCTATGAGAATTATTTTGAAATCGCCCTGCATACCAGTGTAATTGCCTTTGCCGTAGGTCCCGGAACAAGTTCTTATTTTTGGGCAATTGGAACATTTTCAGTTCAATTAGCATACATAGAATTAGTGATGTTCTTAAGAAAGTGTGTTGGATAGTTAATTTAATTTAACCACCATCTTAGACATCTCACGGTTAATGTATATATATATATATATACTTGGGACAATTATCAGTAATATTCTGTATTCTATATATTGAATCTTTGCATTCTTTGATGGATACAACAGACTTCCAGTTATAGGAAAATATGTCCTTATGATACGATCTATGGTAAACACTATTCTGAAGGTATCCATAATGCAAGTAGAATGTAACTATAGAATACTACAATCATTCACCTGATCTACAGCGTTTAGGCGATAAATTATGGCGATTAAATCATATATGATATCTTATTTATCTACGAGTTTTCACTGTATTTTCATATGTCCCAAAGAGTAAAATATTTTATTACTTTCCTTAGGTCATGATTATCGTATTTATCTTTGTTATGGGTTTTGCTATCGGCTTTGGGATGCAATGCCTCCATGAGGTCGGACAACATGGTGAAAGTTGAACTTGATTAACTATTCCTTTCCAAACTTTAAAAGCATATTGATTATTCTAATTGTTACTTAACTGTATATTTTGTTAAATAAAATTATGTTTCAAGCTCGTATAAAGAGATTAAATAATGTATTAAACACTGAAGTAAACTTTTCTAAATACTAAGATATCTTAAGTATTCTGGTCGTTTCTTATTTGTATTTCTCTAATTTATAAGTTTATAAGAGGTATTATATAGAAGCTCTATACCTCTCTATAGCAATTAGTTTGACTTTACTGCTGTAAAAATTTTAAGTATTATATTGATTAAATTTACTTAGGATATATTTGCATTAAACATTTCCCTAGGTGGCGTTCAGTAACATCTTCCTGTCTGTTATTAAAGTAATTGATATGATGGTTGGGGAAATTGATTACAAAGATGTATTTCTATCTGGAATTCAAAATGGCGATATAGCCTATCCTGGAAGTTATGCAGTTTTAGTCATTTTACTTATATTCATTTTTATTATGTCGATCTTAGTCATGAATTTGATGGTACGTATGAATTAACAATTGTTTCTACTAAATTAGAAGTTACTTCTATAATTATTTATTGGAAAATTTTGTTGATGCTAATATATTAACCAGTACAGTACGAAAGTTGATTTATCACGTAGAAGCAAGGCATAATTATGGTAGTTTCTTTACCTTTTTTACATAATATAGCGCGTATACCTGTATGCTATGTTTTCATTAGTCTTACTTAGTATCTTAATATAATAAAGAAACTAGTAAAATGTAATGACCGATCGAATATTTGCTGTAAAATCTTTTAAACTATGGATTTCAGTTGCCCCAAAAATTTATTATATATTTAATGATCAGAAGAAATTCTTTATTAGCTATTATTAATACAGGAATATGTAAATGTACTCTAGTAAATGCTACACCTGGCAGCTAGTCAAATAGGAACGCAGGAGGTGTATTTATTTTGCAATATAATACAGGAAATATACTCCGCATTCAATATTAGTATGAATTCTGGATTCTTCTTAATTTTATTTTAGATTGGCCTAGCTGTTGGTGATATAGCCGAAATGGAAAAGAAAGCTAAACTTCGACGTTTAGCAGATTTAACTGACTACTTCTACAATATTGATAAAATTATGTCACGTCATCTTCGTAAGCAATATAAAATTGACAAGATTACATGTACTGAAGTAGAACGGATTACAGTAAGTATCGTAAAAACGAATATTCATAAAATCGTCAATAATTCAAAAAACTTGCTATGTAAATTAACGGTTAAAATAAGATATTAACTACTTAAAATTACTCATTTTCGAAACATCAGATAGTACATTTTGTTTTCTAGCAGTAAAGAAAGCTAATTCTCACAATTCTATTAATTAGACTGTAGATAAATCAAATTCAAACGAATGCCTGTTTGAATCGCACAATTCTGAAATAAGCTCTCAGATGCAAGAAATGGTTCGTCAATTTGAATCTCAAAGAATGAGGTATTCGATATTTTACATAAATGTTTTTTAAATTGAAGATATTGAGCATTTTTGATGAGATCTCTTTAACAGTACCCTCAAGTTTATTCTGTGAATATGATCTCATTACGCTGCCATTTTCTGTTACATCAATTTAATAGGCTGATCGCAATGGAAGAAAAGCTTAGATTTATATGCCAAAATATGGATGATACAAGCACTTCTTAATAATTCAATCATTAAAAGTACCGAATAGAATAGCAAAATGAAAATAGGATTGAAATACTTATTACGACTTCTGCTTCTTTAAGTTATCACGTATACCAGGTTAATAAGAAAATTATGAATATTTTTATTATTACAGTATTAAAATTTATAAAGCTGGCTTCAAGTAATCTATCTAGAATAAAGGACTACTAAAAATATATCGATATTTATAGCATTCCATTAAACCTACTGGAAAATTATTAATTCTTAAATGCTTTTAATACAGTATAGTCCAAGTAATTTATTGCTAGTGTGCTGAATTTCTGAGCTATCTTTTAATTAAGAAATATCTATGGATATTAATGCGAATAATATAAATTCGAAAGCTGTGATAGTCTATTTACCGGTGTTTACGCAAAATTCATTTATGCTTTGCCTTAAAATATCCCTTCATAATAGTCTCTTATCGTAAAAATAAATTAATCCACTTGTGAAGCAATCTGATTCAAGGTCATGTGTTCATTTTCAATATGAATGTATCTTCCTAATTTGTCATTAGTTGTAATGAACAAAATGGGCATTTTTCTATTGATTAGTGGTGAACAAGGGTAAGCTGTCGTAAAGTAAAATGAGAAATACTAACACTGCAACTATTACGACTAAAGAAGCCAATGATCAAAATCGTCATCTAAAACCAGTATCTATTAATACTTATTTTAAAACAATTTATGGCCCATACCATAGTCCATAACTTGCGAATAGGTCCGTTCCTGAACCAATTAGGGATGAGATAAGACGTGAAATGCATGATCTAATGACTGTTAATTAGCCAAAGCAAAATCCATGTTTCAATCTGAAGCAACAGTGGTAAAATTTCACTTCTAACTTTCACATCATTTAATTTTCAATCAGAACTTGCTTGGCCAAATTATCAAGGACGCCAGTGAAGAGCGTGCAGATATAGTTTGCTGGCCTAAAATACAGTACATAACGAGCGTATTTCATGTTCATGCGACAGTAATAGTAATAATATTTTTGTTATATAGCTATAATCTTGAAAATAACAGCAACATCATTACTTACATATAAAGTGGAACGGTAGTAACTGTTATTACTAGTAGAGTTAATCGATTTCGGTGATATGCAGCGGTTGAGATTGATATGATACTTATAATTTAGTATATTGCCTGAGTGTACAGTGCACATGCAGTAGTTAGAAAGCGACAGCGGCCCACGGTTAGTACTGTACAATGTAATCCAATTCTGGTTGGTTACAATACTTGAAATGTTTTAACTAACAGTATATAGCATATATATAATTGTAGCCCATCAAAATTATATTATAATTCTACTGCAACCTACCAGTACATTATCTATAAATAGTTTAGGATAATATCACCTGTTTGCACTACCAAGACAGAAATATCTGTGGTTAGAAAGTAGTTGCACTTATTATAGAACGATCATCTATTCACTATTTGAGATCATAAACAATTATACTAGCAATAAAAAGCAGCATGAGCTAATTTCGACGTCATAGCTAATAAACATATGACATAAGTCTCTCAGATTACAAGCATGCAACAACATGAAAAACTAGAAATAACGTCTGGATTACTTGAGTTAAATTGCGTGTATTACCTGTTCTTAATATTATTTATTAATGCATAGCAAATAAACATATGACATACGCCTCTCAAATTACGAGCATGCAACAATATAAAAATCTAGATATAACGTCAGAATTAGTTGAGTTTGGTTGCGTGTTTAACCTATTCTTAATATTGTTCATCAATAGTGGCATAGTGTGAAATAGAATTAGACATAATTAGTAAAGGCTTAATTGAAAAATATCATGATGTAAAAGGAATATTTTCAGTTGTATATCCAAGCCATGTAAATGCGCCTATATACGTGATCAAATTTGTTTACAATCTGTTACCTTATGGAGGTAAAAGATAATTAAATTAAAGTTCTATCTATAATCATAAAAAATAGCAATTTCAAACTATGATTTCATAATAAAATTTAATTATTAAAATTCTCCTTTCGGATAATACTATTTTGGTTCAAGTTTTGTATTTTGATGCACTAAAGTTGTACAGCAATGGAAATGCTTAGAAGATCAGATTGGTCGAAAACTTCGGTTTTATTTAGTAAAGCAAAGAATGTAGACGCTCACGATATACTACAAGTAAGATCAAATACTAAATACTTTCACTCTTATTGTAGCTTACTTCTTATACAGTAAATAAACTAAAGTACAAATACGCGCTGTCTGAAATAAAGCTATCTATAACACCGGGAGAGTATCTTTGCCCATTTAATTGCAATTTTTATTCGACTTTTCTAGACTTATTTGCTAGAATTTGATTTACTATTAAGTTAATCGTCTCTTAACATACAATACTTTCACAAAATTTCGAGTACTTCAATCGTTTTATGACATGAAATTATTACGGTATATATCATCGATTTAAATAACTCCCTACCATTTAATTAAAGTTTTTAGTTACTAATTCTTTACTAAAACATGCCATCTCACCTTCTTTTCTATCACATGAAAAATTTATCAATCTACATTTTATTCACTATCCTAATATTAATGTTAGGCTGCAAAAAGTAACGATATGCTGCTTTTGCAACAAGCTCTACCAAATGAGGAAATTGAAACACTTGCTAACCAACTGGATCGCGATCGTTTAGCCCCATTGCACTATGCGGCAAGATGTGGTAATGCTGAAGTCATTGAATGTTTAATCGCAAAGGGTGCAGGTTCGTTAATCATCCAGTAGCAACTACTTACAATGCAAAAGATTTGATGATATCTACAGTAATTATTGTTATTAATTTTGATTTAATACCCATTATAATTATCGAATTCCTGACTGCAAATACCGTCAGATCTCATTATTGCTGTGTTATTTCATCTTAGACATTAATATTAAAGGCCTAAACAATGTAACACCACTACATTTGGCAGCAAGGTATAACAGATATACAGCTGTAAAAGTATTACTAATGTTCAATGCTGATATCGGCGTTAAAGATATCGACTCTAATACGGCACTGCACTATGCAGCAAAAGGTGGGAATCAGAAGATTTGTGAGGTAAAACTGAAAAAGATTGGAGATATTCTACTCTGCTAGTTTATGTCTTCATTTCTTACTAAAGTTACTAATGTCAATCATAATAAGAAGCGCATTACTTGAAATCCAAGAATTATAGTAATTATTATAAAGAAGACATAATATAGATGTAGAAGACGACAGTTTAATTAGACAAAATTACAAAGCAAATCAATTGCCACAAATATTTTTGATACATTTTTGTTCTAATGAGTGCTTTATGGTAATGGGAATAAAAGTACTTAGATTAGAATATGATACCAGTAGCACCGAAGCCAGTTATTTATTTTTGTCCATAGGTATGCTTTGCTTAAAATTACATTACATCATCCTCTAAAGTCTTAACATATTCGATTTCAAGTGATTTAAAAGATGCAGCAATACTATTGTACAGTATTATTGTCACAAACAGTAAAAAAAATACTTAATTAATTCGAGTTTTACTCATCATCAATTACCTTACAGGAATTACTCAACAAGCGCCCATCGTTAATTGATAGTGTAAATGCAGATGAAATGACACCTTTACATTTCGCTTGCAATACCAATCATGAAGCAGTTTGCGTCTGTCTGGTAATATATTGAATCAAATATCTAATGCAATAGACAGTCGAGTATCTACTTCGAGAGAGGTAGCAATATAATTCGATGTTATGTCTCATCCGCTATTATTGCAGATTGAAAGAGGAGCAGATATCTTACGTAGAACTGCTGATGGCAGTTTGCCGATTCACTTGGCTGCTAGTAAAGGAAATACAAGTCTAATGGAATTATTATTGACTACTGGGGAGGCAAGATATGAACGTCGTGAAAACCATATTGTAGAGTGCAATCACGATGGTGCCTCCGTTTTACATCGAGCTACTCAATGTGGCCAAAAAGAGGTCAGGATTTCTTTCAAAAATCTATAGATTAATAATGAGAATATTTCATTTACTGTAGAACTTGCTATTTTTTGTTGAATCATTTCAAAACTTAGCACTTAACCAAACTAATCTTACTCAATTCAACTTCATAGGCTGTCATTTTTGCCTTAGATGCTGGTGCCGATGCCTCCTTAAGAGATGTAAGTGTGTCTTGATTGAATTTTTACTGGAAAAGTTTCTATACTATGCATTCTTAAGACAATTGTACTACAACGATATACTGGAATGCCATAAAGTTAGTTAGCTTAGCCAATCAAACTGCGAATGATAATAGTGGTATTGCTCTGTAAAGATTGTTTTAATTTACAGCAAGTTAGGACGTCTCTTAATAGTTATCCTTTCTTTTCAATTCGCTAACAGAAAAATGGCTATACACCCTTACATGTTTTAGCTATTACAGGCAATTGTGAGATTTGTCAAATTTTGATTGATAGAAGAGCTGCTATTGATGCTCGTGACAACGAACAACAAACTCCATTGCATCATGCAGCATCATTGAACAATTGCCAAATAGGAGAACTTTTGGTCAAAGCTGTAAGTCAGGGTTTTAATTTGCTACTATAAATAGATATCAGGCTGCATTGCCAACTACAGAATAAAGTAGTAACACTCGCTGGCGGTAAATCGATCACGAAACCCCAAATTTGTATAAAATAAGGACTTTATTCAATCTTTATAAAAAGAATAATCTGCACCTGACTTTAGTCTAGCTATATACAACTACTAGAAAGACTTATAGGGAAAAAACTGCTAGAATAAACTAAAATTGCCTATTTATATACTTTTCGTAGCGTTTGTAGCTACAATTATCATAGCAACATCCTACCTAATTTTGCCCGCATGCAAATTATTATTAGTAAAAAAAATTTTGCAGCGATCTATAATCTAATGTCGTTACAACTACAGTACACATTATTGCTGCTAGCCAAAGTACGATGAAGTAAACATTTCCTAATATATGAGTTA